AGCAGGTCTGGCAGCATCTGTGAAGGAGAAAGCAGAGTTAACGTTTCCGGTCCGATGACCCTTCCACAGAACTGAGGAAGGGTCACCGGACCCGAAACGGTAACTCTGTTTTCTCCTCCACAGATGCTGCCAGACCTGCTGAGTTTCTCCAGCAACTTTGTTTTTGTATACTATTCTCAACTTCTCCAGTCTATCCTCATGACTGAAGGTCCATATATCTGGAACCTTTCACATGAATCTTTTCTGTGTCCCCGCTAATACCTTCACTTCCATCCATTGTGTTGCCTAAAATTGGACACACGACTCAAGTTGAGGCTGAAGCACTGTTTTATGAATGTTCTTCGTAACTTTTTTACTGTGTTCCCCTTTATAAAGCCCAGGATCTTTTTATTAACCATCTTTTTCAACCGGCTTTCTCATATCACAGTGACCCAGAGGGAGTTGAAATGGAGAAAGTTAGCAGGAAAAGACATAGATTTAATCAATGCAGAATAAATGAAATAAAGCATCCAATACTTCTTTCTGTGTTAGTTACATAGGAGCATTTATGAGGATTCCACTAATATCTTTCACCGTGTCCTTGCAGATGCCAATTAAGTGGATGGCTTTGGAATGTATTCACTATCGGAAGTTCACTCATCAAAGTGACGTGTGGAGCTATGGTAGGTTCTCGACTGTGAACATTGAGTGTGTGCAGCAAGGATTTGTGGATTGTCGGCTGGATGACAGCTGTCTTTTCCAGTTCTCAGATTTCCCTTGCTCTTTCTGAATCCAGCTCTTGGGCTCAGACGCACAGTGAGTAACAAATGGATTTTGTTTTGGTCCGTTTCCTTGCAGGAGTCACGATTTGGGAGTTGATGACTTTTGGCGGGAAGCCATACGATGGGATTCCAGCCCGTGAAATACCAGACATCTTGGAAAAAGGAGAGCGCCTTCCACAACCACCAATCTGTACCATTGATGTCTACATGGTGATGGTGAAATGTAAGGGAACCTCATAACTCCATCGTTGTTGAAGAGTGGCTCTTTAAACTTAGGTGCTTTGGTGCCCATCTGGCTGGAGCTGAATAGTGTTGTATGTTGCATGTGTAAACAGACCACAGGCTCATCTGCACACTGATGTGATTGAGCTGACCTCATTTACATGTCCCAAACAGAGACAGCAGCATTGATGACCGTCAAACAAAGTGCCCAGATCTTGCAACAACTCCCTAAGGATAACAAAGACTTAAATTGAAGTCTCCCAAAGAGTAAAGGGTGCTTTTTGTTCAAGGATTGAAAGCAGGTGATGGTCACAGGGGAACTAATTCTCAACAACTCCAATTTTGAAGCTAAGATGCAGTTTAAAATCTGGTTCATATCCCAAGGTTTTTCTTTCTCATTCCACAACCTCATAAAATAAACCTCATCTCCATACTCTCTCTCTCTCCAAATGTGTACATATATCTTAAATGCATCTTTCTGCATGATCTCTTTGCTGCTGCTTCCCATTGAAAAAGGCATTGCTCACTGATCAACCCCCTCACTTACAAAATTCTCTTACAAAGCTACTCTCTATCTCCTTCAAAAAAAGGTCACTCATTAAATCTCCTTCCTGGTCCCTTTCCAAACACCCCTTCACCCACTGCTTAGTATTGTAGTGTTCCCCTATCTCATGCTTGTAGAAGTATCTGAAATATTCAGTGGCATGAAGGCTCAGTGGGTGCATCACTTTTCCCAGGTTCATTAACAGAATTGTGTTCACGTTGATGTCACTGATCGTGTCTCCTTTAGATGCAGAATGTTCAAAAAGGAAAACGTAGTGTTAGTTCCATTTGCAGCATGATCGCAAGCATTTCCTAGAAAGCCAAACAAAGGGTCTGTTTCCACGCTGTATGACTATGAGTCTGACATCCACTTCCCAGCATTGCACATTGCTTACCCAGCGGCAGTGGGAATATTAGAATGAAACAGTTCAAAAGGAGGCCATTGGGCCATCTTGTCTGCGCCAGCTCTTTGGAAGAGCTATCTGATTACTCCCACTCACCTGCTCTGACCCCGCAATTTTGTTTCTCCTTTTCAAGTATTTATCCAATGCCCTTTAAAAGTTACAACTCAATCTCCTTCCACCAGCTGTTCAGAAAGTGCATTCCAGACCAAAAGTCCTCATTTCACTACAAGATGTCCTGCTAATTATCTTGAATCATTATCCTGTGGCTGTTGATCCTGTTGCCAATGGAAACAGAATCCTGACACGTATTTCCTAGTGCTTAAAATCGGTTTGAAGCCAAATGCGACACCAGTACTGACATTGTGGTTGAGTATTGGTGGGATGGCACACACCAAGAGGGATCTGGCCAGCTTGCACTTAATACCACACATGGTGTGAAGCAAATAAGCAATCAGTAATTCACTCAACACTGGTTTTGTGAAAGCTGTTAACTGATGCTGCTAGTGTTCAGCAAATAAATCCTTTGCTGTACATAACAATTTCAGCAATAGAGCTTCAATGAACCACTTTATTCTCAGAAGCCACTGCCCTTTATTCTGCTGAATTCCAATTTTATTGAAGTTCATCATAGTCTTTGCCATTTCCTTTTAATATTCAGTCTTTACTTTCCTTGAAATGAAGAATCCATTTTAATACATTTTTGCATCAGTATGGCATAGTTCGACACTCCATATGCATGTCAGTGTTCAGGCAAAATATTATAATTTAAATTATATCTTTTATAATTGAAAGCTTCATTGTGCCCTGCAGTCTTTGTAAAATTATTTATTTTCACCATCTAGTCAGAGAGCTGCCTGCTTGACTAATGTTCTGTTTTTACTGTGCTAATTCAAGGAAATGCTGGTTTCTTTGCAACAAATGATGAGAAAAAGTTAGTAGAATCTGTAACTGGGGGTCTTGGCCAAAGCTTTTACTCGATTGCAAACTGACCAGAGCTTGCTGACATGCAGGCTTCTTATAATATGGGTCTCGAAGCCACGTGTCATGTTTTCAACTGTACCTGACTGTTGTAGAAGTGGTACAATTTCAGTATTTAATGTTATTCAGATTTTGTTGTGAGCCAGATGTCAATTGTTACCATGATGAAACCATGGGTCTGAGCTCCTCAATCTTATTTCCCCGTCCTATGAGTTTTCCGACCCTCCCCTGAGCTTCCCCCAAGTTTTCGGAACATAAGAAATGGGAGCAGGTTGTTCAGCTCTTTCAGAGTACTCCACAAAAATCATGGTTAATCTTCGACATAAGCCCCACCCTACCTTATATTCCTTTGATTCCCTTATAGTTTTGGATACTATCAAACTATCTGTTGAATATACTCAATGCATGAGCAACCACCGCTCTGCATTATAGAGAACTGTAAAGATTATAGTTTCTCCTTCTTTCAGTCGTAAAGGCCCGCCTCTCGTTCTGAAACTATGACCCTGTGTTTTAGATTCCCCAGTCAGCGGAAACATTTTCTCAGCACCAACCCTGTCAAACCTTCGACAATTTTATATGTTTCAATTATATCACCTCTCAGTCTTTTAGCCCTCAGGAAATATAGGCCTAGTCTACACAGTCTGTCCTCACAGGGCAATCTGCTCATCCTGGGAATCAGTGTAGTGAGCCTTCAATGTGTTCCCTCTAGGGCACATATGACCTTCCTTAGGTAAGGAGACCAAAGCTGCACACAGTATTCCAGGTTTTGTCTTATCATGGCCCTGCATAACTATGCAGACCCATCCCTTTGCAATAAAGGCTGACATCCCATTTATTTTCCTTGTTGTACTTTCATGTTGCATTACTACAAAGGGACACCCATGTGGTTCTGAATATCAACATCTCACAGTCTCTCACAATTTAAAACATATTCTGCTTTTCTGTTTTTTTCTGCCAAAGTAGATAATTTCAAACATCTCACAATCTCTCACAATTTAAAACATATTCTGTCTTTCTGTTCTTTTCTGCCAAAGTAGATAATTTCACACATCTCCATCTATTCAATCTTCCATGCTTTTAGCCAATCAATTAACCTGTCCATATCGTTTTGTATCTTCCTTGCAACCTGGACACAGCACCTAATTGAAGTCATTCATATCGATTGAAAATAGATCAGGTCCAAGCACTGTTCCTTGCTGTGCCCAATCAGTTGGAGCTTGTTAACCTTGTCAGCTCTGGAGGAGTGCACCAGGGTGTTACAGGGGGAATGGCCCCTGCAGGATACTGATGGTGGAGGAGAGGGTTATATGTTTTCAAGGTTGCTGGATGTGTTGGAAATGGCAGAGGGTGAACCTTTGAATGTGGAGACTGATGGGGTGGAAAGTGAAGACAAAAGGAACCCTATAATTGTTCTAGGAAGGAAAGGGAAAGGTGAGGACAGACATGGCTGAGAGTCCTGGAGTGGAGGTAATCCTCATTGAGGGAAAAGGAGGGCATGTTGAAGGCACCTCTGTGAAAGCTGGCATCATCAGAACAAAGATGATACAGACGGAGAAGTTGGAATCATGGAATGGAGTCTTTATGAGGGAATGTAGTCAGTGTAACTGTGGGAGTCAGTAGGTTTGTAATGAATATTGGTGGACAGCCTGTCCCAAGCATGGAAACAGTGAAGTCAAGGAAGGGAAGGGTCAGCGATTGACCAGGTAAAGATGAGAGAAAGATGGAAATTGGAAGCAAAACTAGTGAATTTTCCAATTTCATACAAGAGCAAGAAGCAGCACGGATGTGCCAGGAAAGGAGTTGGGGCTAGGAGCCCGAGTAGGACTGGAACAAGGCATGATCCACATACCTGACAAAGGGACAGCTATAACGGGGACCCATGTGAATACCCATGGCCACACCTTTGACCGTGTAAAATTGAGAGAGTTAGAGGAAAAGTTGTTCTAAGTGGGAACAAGTTCAGACAGGTGAAGGAGGAGAGTGGATGGTGGGGTCTCTTTACAAACATCCTTCAGACCATCCTGATGGGGGATGGACATGTAGAGGGATTACACAACCATGGTGAGCAGAAGGGTGGCTTGTGCCAGAAAACTGGAAATTGAAGAAGCAACATAAAGCATCAATAGAATCGGTAGTCAGAAGAGACTGAACAAGGAGGAAGAAATGGAGTCAAGATGGGAAGAAATAAGTTAATTGGTTGTAGAAGCAGCTGAAACAATGAATTTGCCAAGGCAGTCCTGTTTGTTGATTTTGGGAAGGAGCTAGAAGCAGGCTGTGTATGGTTGGGGTCTTTGAGGTAGAAAACTGTGAAGGGAAGACCTCCTGAGAAGATGAACTCAGTGACAGTCCTGGAAGCTACAGCATCTGTAAATCTGTGTTGGTTCTGTCGAACCCTGTTATGATTTTCTAAGTGATTCCTACATTTTCCCTCCTGTTGATGCCCGATGGACTGCCCTAAAAGCTCCCCCTGTTCTTTCACCCTCCTTTCCTGAATAGCAGGGTTTTGTTTATTACTTTCCAATCCATGTAGAATGTTCCAGAATCTAAGGAATTCCAGAACACCGTTTCTAATGCATCCACTATCTTTCGAGCCACCTACATTAGGATATAGGCCTGAGGCCTATGCGGTTTGATGGTTTTGAGTGCCACTAATTTCTCCAGAACTACTTATTCAGTAAAATTGTTTTCTTTCGATTCCTCGTTCTCCTTAGACCCTTAGTTCGCCATTTGTTTCAGTTTTTTTTGTCTTTCACTGTGAAGACAAGTTAAAAGTACTTGATTAATATCTATCATTTCCTTAATCCCTATTAAGATTTTTCCTATTTTCTGCCTCCCAGACACCCACACTAAACTCTTTTTTTACATACCTACAGAAGCTTTTAGAACATGGAAGCTTTTGCAATGTGTTTTTATGGCCCTCATTGGTATACATTGGTGTTCTTTCTTTTACTTCATTGATTTGTCAGTTATCCCTTGATGAATGCTAAAACTCTCAGGCTTTAGTATAAGGCTCTCCCTTTAATCTAACATGATATTTAACTTATTTTGTTAGCCACAGTTTGACTACTTTTCTTGTGCAATTTTTACTCCTCAAGGAATGTATAGTAGTTGTGAATTATGAATTAATACCTTGCATGTTTTGCCTATGCTTATCCACAACCATAGCACTTAATATAGTTTCCTGGTTTATCTTGGCCAAGTAACTTCTCACACCTGGGTAGATGTCTTTGTTTAGATCTAAGATCCTAGTGTCTGTCCAAATTAAATCAATCTCAGATGTAACTTAACATTTTACTATGTTATGATCACCCTTGTCCAGAGGCTCCTTTACTAAAAGGTTATTGATTAATTCTTTATTGTTGTACATTCCTAAATATATAATATCCTGATCCCAAGTTTGCTCCTTGGCATATTGAACTCAAAACTATCTTAATACAGTCAATGAACTCATTTTCTACTCTATTACTGCAAATGTGAACTTCATAGTCTGTATAGCAACAAACGTCTCTCATGTTTATTAGTATATACACTTCTTATTTACTGATTTATACTCTCTCTAAAACTACATCTGCAGATAGGGGTTTATCAATTACTCACATCAATCGTTTCTGCCCTTGCTGTTCCACAGCTTCATCCAAACTGATTCTACAGATAAATTTTCTAGGCTAAGGTCCCTCCTCTCTGTTACCTTTATCCCATAATTTGCTGTCAGGGCTACCCCTCCACCTTTTCCAATTTAACTAAGTCTTCTACAAATCAAGTATCCCATAATATTTAGTTCTTAGAAAGCCATTAATATCCACTTGGGCTATTAATTTATTTATTGAAAACTTCATGCTTTCAAATACAATGCCCATAGCTTTGACCACTCTTGTTTTCCCCACAACACTCTCATCACTAATGCCCTGTTAACTTCCAGAAGCTTTCTGTTCCTTGCTCATCCATTCTGCTTGTTCTTCTGCAAACTGCTGCTCGCGCTACATCCTTGACAGCTCGTGAGAGCCTGTTCGCCAGTGTGGTGGTGAGACGTGGCTATATTGGTTACCCCGAGCCTCATGCTGAGGGCATCACAGATTCTTCTTGCCCTTCCCTGGCATGTTCTCTCCCTCAACCTGCACTCCGACACCCCCACCCATCCCTTCACGCCGTTGTAAAATTGAGGCTGTTTTACAAAGTTAAAAATCTCAAAGGGTCAAGTCAACCCCACAGTGGTACAGACGATGTAACAGTTTTAAAGCTGACTTCACATGAAATATATGTTTCATTTTTGAAGGACAAGGAGAACAACAATTTGCATTTGCATAGTACATTCAACATAGTCAAGAACTCAGGGTTAGAGTGCAAAGAGGGTAAGGGAGGGAATTCCAGAAATCGGGACCGAGGAAGCTGAAGGCACAATGGAGCAAGGAACTGAAGACTTAAAGGTGATATCAAACTGCAAAGAAAATATCACCCAGCATTGCTGAATGTTTGCTGTAGGAATTGTGAAATTTTATTTTTACATCTTGTTTTGGTCCTAATGTGTGTGTGTGTGTGTGTTTTTAAACTGGTCATCCATGACCAGGTGAGGAAGGGTTCTTACTGTCCTGTAAGTTGCTGTTCTCCTTTCTCCCAGGCTGGATGATTGATGCCGACAGCAGACCCAAGTTCAAAGAATTGGCAGCGGAATTCTCTCGAATGGCTCGAGATCCACAGAGGTACTTGGTAATTCAGGTCAGTTTAATTTGATTTCAGCTTCGCTGTTGGAATTATTGTATGATTAAAAACTGAAAAAAAAAGTTCCTCCAGCTTATTCCTGTTAAACATCAGTCTGGTGATCAGCACTGGAACGTGCTCTTTTCCTCTGCTCTATTTATAGAGCTGGCATTGTCAGATTGCAATCATCAAGTAGTTCACCAGGGCCCAGAGTGACGCTGGACCACTTCTAGCCCAGCTGCCTCCCCTTCCCTTGCAAATGGCTCACAGCAATTGATGGAGACCATTCAGTCCTTCAAACCTGTTAGCCCCATTCATAACTGATCTATATCCAAACAGCAATGACACTTAACAAATGTCCTGCATTAAAATCTGTCCCTAATACCCTTACTGCATTAACATCTATCCCTAATAACCTTACTGCGTTAAAACATGTGCCTTATAACCTTAGAATATTGATATCTTGTCCCTAATACCCCAACTGTGTTAAAATCTGTCCCTGATTCCCTTAATGCATTAAAATCTGTCCCTAATGCATTTACTACATCTTTTCCTATTAATCTTACTGCATTAAAATCTTTTGAGGTACCCTTACCACATTAAATTCTGCTTGTAATACCCTCACTGCTATAGCATCTAACCCTAATACACTCACCTCATTAAAGTCTATGCCTAATAACCTTACTGTTTTATCGTCTGCCCCTAATATCCTAAATGCATTAAAATCAATCCTAAAAACTCATACTGCATTAAAATATGACCCTAACACCGTTAAAATTAGTCACCAATGCCTCACTGAATTAGAATCTGTCCCCAGTATCCTCACTGTATTAACACCTTTCCCTAATACTCTTACTGCATTAGAATCTGGCCCTAATAACCTGACCACATTAAAATATGTCCCTAATAGCCTTAACACATTAATACCTTGTCCCTCATACCCATACTGCATTAAAATCTGTCCCAATAGCCTTACTGCATTAAAATATGACCCTAAAATCCTTACTGCATCAAAAATATGTCCCTAAAATCCTTACTGCATTAAAATCTGTCCCTAATACCCTTATCACATTAACATCTGTCTTTAATACCGTGACTGCATTAAAATCTGTCACTAATACCTTAACTGCATTAAAATTTGTTCCCAATCCTCTTTATACATTAAAACTGCCCCTTATACCTTTGCTGGAATAAAATCTGTCCTGAATACCCTTACTGCATTGAAATCAGTTCTAGTACCCTTAGCATTAACAATTGTCTCTAATAACCTGACTGCATTAAAATCTGTCCCTAATATCGTTACTGCATTAAGATTTGCTCCTAACTGCCAAATAGAGCATGGACGACAGTACTTTGCGGGTTTGTTACACCTTTAGCAGCTCATTCAAACAAGGAGAGACCACTGTTTGAATCATACACTGTGCCATGTGGAATAAGAATGTACATTTATAAAGTGCCTTCACTATTGTAAATTGTTGTGTGTTGTCATTGTGGAATGGGATTTCAGACCCTTTCCTTCCATGTCACCAACAATGACTCAAGAGCACCCCCAAGTGACAGAATAAGTACTTGCAGGTGCTGGGCTGAGAGGTGCAGTTCAAGCAGGTCTCCAGGACAATCCTGACTCAGTGCCAGTCCAAGCAGTAGTTGGAACTCAGTTAGAGACTAGGTGGAAAAAAGTTGACCTCAGGTGTTGAATGGATGTTTTACAAGGACAGGACTGGGCTTATCTTAAGGGGTGTGGGCCTTGTTCGAAACCCATTGCCATCTCTGCCCCATGAAGTATCCAGAAGAGGATTCCTGGCCAACATGATTGCAATAATTGGCCTTGCACTGATTGCAATGTGTTTGCAGTAGTGGAAATAGCAAAAGGATCGATTAGAAGATTACTCATACCAGCCGGTGAAAAATGAGGTTGCAATGTTTCTGTTTTGTGGGTCACCCTCAGTTATGCTTCGTTCATTAGAGGGTTAAGTCTGACTGTGCAACGTGCTAACGGACCTAATATCCATCATTACAAGAGATGCAGTGTCACCTGTTTTTAGTTTCTGCAGCCTCATGGCAAGATGAAGCCAGGGTAAGGCAGTTCTTCAGTGAAGAATTCTGAGTTCAGCAGACTCTGTTAATACTTCGTAGCAGCACAACGGCGCTGAGAATATTATTTGCTTGTCTCAAGAAAGATTTATTTTCTCTGAAGTTTTCACTCAAAGTCACTTAGCAGTTTGTCGACTGCAAACTCTGTAATTTTTGCTTTAAAAAAAAATCCTTGATGCATTAGTAGCTAGGAGCAGTTTTATCCAGACAGCTGTGCATTTACCAAAGGAATAAGCATTTTTAATGACCCTGTCAATCTGCCACCTGTGAGTAACCTGATTTTTAAATTACTAAAAATGACGTGAAAAGCAAACAGAACCATTTGCTATTGGAGTGCAGTAGATTATTTCTTAGTAAATTGAGAAAAATGATCTTGAAAAACTTCTAATATCTGCCTATTAGTGTTTTTGCGTCCAAAAGATCCTGTTTAATTTTTGGGCCTTCGGGAAGACCTGTAACCAAGTGCAGATTAACTGCTGTGGTTGCTTCTGTAGTCTTCCTGTACACAAGTAGCTACTGCATTTGATAACATAACAATACCAACTGCATCTCAAAATGATGTATTTTATGTCAAGTGACATGAGAAGTGTTCCGATGCTGTAAATTCACATTCTTTCAGCCCACAAAATGACCTTTAGTAATCACATCCTCTGAACTCCAACCTCAAAATGCCAACACATCCAAAACCAGTGTGAATCCAACATGAGAGAATCTGAAGTCTGTTGAATCTGACTGACTGCACGCATATATCTGTTTTATTTGGAGAAGATTCACAAACAATTAATGATATTCAGGAAGGCAATCACTACTGCTCGGGTTAAATGGATTATTTGGTGAACTGTGTGTTTAATAGGACTTTATAGCTGGTAATCCGTGAGTTCTTGATGTAGATCTGATACAAACTAGGATCCTTGCATTATTTGAACTTTCACTTTTCATATTTATCATTCAGAATGTATAGTATCTTCCATGTGGCTTCCTTGACTCTTCCCCAATACCCTTGAGTCAGTACGAGTGCAGCAGTCTGATCTTGATTTCAGTTTTATGACTGTGACAGTTTATTGAGTTGGGCAGCCAACCAACTGATCCAGTCTGTCATGTGTTTCTCACCTGGCCATAGACTGAAGCCCTGGTCTCAGGAGGGGCCTACCCAGGACATATTCAGGTTGATCTTTTAAAGCAGGGAGCTCAAATATGCCCATACTGCCAGGGCCAAGACAGGTACAACTTTGCGCAGCTTTTTAAAACAGAAAAAAAACACTCCCTTTGTTACAGGGAGATGACCATATGAAGCTGCCGAGCCCGAATGATAGCAAGTTCTTCCAGAGCCTGCTGGACGAAGAGGAGCTGGAAGACATAATGGATGCGGAGGAGTACCTGGTCCCACAGGCCTTCAACATCCCACCACCAATCTACAGCTCAAGACCAAGGATTGATTCCAACAGGGTGAGTAGAATGAACCATAGATCAAGTTTGCAAAAATCAAGGAAAACGTCAAGTAGAAACAAGTTCGACTGGTATTAATACTGGGCTTGCAGTTAGCATTATGTTGAACACGTTAATAGTTTAACAAGTAAACAGTGAAACAATATGACACTGCCAGATCAATGGAGTCTCAGCCACATACTCTTTTCTTTCACTACATTCTACGCCCCTGGTTCCTGTTTGCAGGTCAGCAGTTGGGGCTGTTTGTTTTCCCACACCTCTGGGGGTGTGAAGGTGGTAGGTTCAGAGAGGCTATGTGTCTCCTTACCAATGGGAGGTGCCATGCTCCTGTTACTTATAACATATTGTGTCACTGTGGAAATGCCTGAAGACTTTTCTGAACTTAGAAGAGTTTCTGTACTCCGAAAGAGCCTTCTGCATGAGAAAAGAAAATATTCAAAGAGCAGCAGTATTTAATTTTGGTTGTTTTTAATTTTCAGTATGGCCTACCCAGCTTCTTCAAAACTTTATTGCCTGATTTAAGCTAGCTATATTAATGTTCAATAATCTAGATTTTATTCCAAATCTGTTCACCGGCCCCTGTAAAAAAAAATGCAATATTCAATTTGTCAAGCTGCACTTCTTTTTATTGCCATGCAATGAAGGATGTCTAATAGGCAGGTACCAATCAGTGATTCTTTTGAACGTGATGTTTGAAAGGGGCAAAGCTCAGCTCCATTTGAAGAATGGCTATTGGCACTGCCATCCTCAATTTTCAGATGCTGCCATGTTTACTATGACTATTGGACCATAGCCAAGGGAATCCGCTTTAACTTTTAGCACCGAGTGCTGTGGAAAGAAATGACAGCACAGAACTGATTGTTCCTGTAGGTTTTCCCCAGCAGCTGAGAGTAAAACATCCCAAACTTTATTTGGCAAAACGATGTCGCCTGTGTTTTCTATCTGTGCCCTCCCACCCATCCTACCCCTTTCTAAGAAACACCGGATGGGACATTCAATTCGGGTGGCACTAAAAGAGCATTGGAAGACCATGTGCCTGTTGTAGATCCCACTTGATCTTCCAGTGGAAGGTTGGGAAGAGTGTATAATGGGCCCATTTCACAAACCCCGCTAAACTTCCAGGTTTTTCCCATTCCATTTGCACAGAACCAGAGGGTTTTATTTAAGTGGCCAAAACACATGTTTAATAATGGTTCTGGTGTCAAATTTTAGTACTGTATACCCACAGGATCAGTCAGACCTCTGTAATAAAATAATACTGCCAGTATATGATGACGATGATGAGTAAAATTAGCCCTTTCCTGAAACAAAAATCATTAATCTCGGTGTAGATTTCAGCTCCAGGTTTCTCTATACTTGTGAAATTTGCTACTGTCACTTATCACAGTGCTCTATATACGTTAAAAGGAGAAGAATGACTCACATTTATATAGTGCCTTTCACCATCTCAAGGTAACTGAAAGTTGGTCACAATCAAAGCACTTCATGCTGGCAGGATGTCACAGGTGGTGGCGCACAGGGGTTGGTGCTGGGGCTACAACTCTTCACAATTTTTATATAAATGACTTGAATTAAGTGATCCAAGGTAAGGTAGCTAAATTTGTTGATATCAGAAAGATAGGTGGGAAAGTGAGTTGTGAAGAGGGCTAAAGGAGCCTACAGAGGGGTATAGATGGTTAAGTGAGAGGGCAAAGATCTAGCAAATGGAGTACAATGTGGGAAAGTAGGAAATTATCCATTTTGGCAGAAAGTATGAATGGGGCATGTTATCTAAATGCTGATAGGCTGCAGAGCTCTGAGATGCAGAGAGATCTGGGTGTCCTAATGTCTGAGTAACAGAAGGTTTGTCTGCAGGTACAGCAGGTAATCAAGAAAGCTAATAAAATATGATGGTCTATTGCGAGGGGAATTGAATGCAAGAGTAGGAGGTTATGCGTCAGTTAGACAGGGCAATAGTGAGACTGCAGCTGGAATACTGTGTACAGTACTGGTCTCTATACTTATGGAAGGACGTTAATGCCTTGGAAGCAGTTCAGAGAAGATCCACAAGATTAATATGCAAAAATGAGCAGATTGCCTTGTGAGGAAAGGCTAGACAGGCTGGATCTGTATCCTGTGAAGTTTATAAGAGTCAAAGGTGACTTAATTGAAACATGTAAAATTCTGAGGGGACTTGACCAGGTGGGTGTTGAAAGGATGTTTTGACTTGTGGGAGAATCTAGCCCTTGAGGTCAAAGTTTAAAAATAAGAGGCTAGCCATTTAAGTCAGAGATGCAGAAACACTTTTTCTGCCAGAGGCTGATGAGTCTTTTGAAATTCCCTTCCTCAAAAGGCAGTGGAGGGAGAATGTTCAAATATTTTTAAGGCAGAGGTAGATATTTTTTCATCTCCTTAGTAATCAAGAATCTATCGGCAGGTATGCAGAAATGTAGAGTTGAGATCAGATCATCCACGATTTTATTGAATAGCAGAGCAAACCCAAAAGGCTGAGTGTGGCAGCTGTTACCCCTTGTATATCCCTTGTTCCAACAATTGTTTAAGTAGTTTTCAAGTATACTAACTTTAGTGATATAGGAAACACAATAGCCAATTTGCAAGCAAATTCCCACAAGCGATTGTATAATAAGAATTAGAACATCTATTTTATGATGTTGATTGAAGGGCAGATATTGGCCAGGTGTAAGGGGGACTTCCCTGTTCTTCTTCAAACTCGTGACATGTGACCTCTTGAGTTTTCCTAAGGCAGTTTGAATTTTGTTTTGAATGCTAGCACTTCCAACAGTGCAGCATTCTGTCAGGACTGCACTGCAGCATCAGCCTGAATTTTATGTTCCCTGCTCCGGAATGCATTACTTACCTGCAACCTTCTAACCCAGAGGCGAAGGCACTGCCAACTCAGCTACAGCCACTCAACCAAGATACGGCAATAAAGAGGCAGAACACTGAAGGAGTTAACACTCGTTCCAGAGGTTCTGTAAGCAAACGGGGGTTGAATAAAGAGAGCTAGAGATACAAAAGAACTTGAAATTACTATCAGAATGTTTGAGACAAGAGCTGTGGGAGGGCTCCATTATCATTAGCTGTCTATTCAGATAGTGCCGATTCAAGGTGCTGGGACTTTGTGTCTGTCAGCTTTAGAAGAAAGCATCATTTCAGTGGGCAATCCAGTACATGCTACTTCTTTTAATGATGCAGATGAGAAACCAGAGGTTCTAATTCTGTTGAATCCGGGAGACAGACCTGCATGAATAGGCTTGATTGCACTGTCAGTACAAAAAAAGGGAATGATTTGAGAAGAAATGCCAATTAACCCCTTCAGTGATAGACTGCAGACAATTGATTTCAAACGAAACTGTGGTCACATTTTCCAGTTTTATGTAAAGTTCTCCCTCCACCACAAAATGTAAAGCACAATATTGACGAGACATGGTTTTCTGACCGTTGGTTCTAAATGTTCTTGGTAACCGAGGCTTGAGTTTTAGCAGTGATGGTCTTTACACGACTCGTAATCCACAAATTCTCAAACGGTACCATAGCAAACCAATCAGTTTCCAGACTCGGTAGCGTTTTCCTTTGTTCCTAGTAAACCTCCCTGAAATGACAGTCCTACTGTCCAGTGTTCAGCTGAAAGGTCAACCCGTTAGTATCATGGGATGAAATTTCCGCAAGAATCCTCACTGTTGTTCTTTCATGAAACATTGGAGAAAGGACAGGCGCCATAGGAAAGCATTTAAAGGTGGGGGAACCAGGGCAGGAACAGAGAGACCTGGTGGGTTCTTGTATCTTTGGAGATGGCAGAACAGGTTAACAACGGCAGATAAAAGCAAGTGGAGAGGTGGTTAGCTCAGTTAGCCAAGGCGTATTGGTCAGAATAACGTCAGGAACATGGGGTTTGATCTCTGTCCGGCCGAAATAGACATGGCCCCTGCCCAGGTCGTGAAATAATGCAGTAAGCTATGATTTGACAGCCCTCGAATAATAGAAGCTGCTAGTCAGAGAAAAGGAGTAAAGCCCTTTGGATTCTGAGTTTTATAAAATAGGTGTAAAGCGTAAGATCCAGGGAGTTGTGTCAAACCCATATAAGATGCGACTTCAAATTCATCCAGAAAGGAGTATCCGGTAAACAGAAAATACCAAAGAACTGCAGATGCTGGAGATCAGAAACAAAATCAGAAATAGCTGGGAAAACTCAGCAGATCTGGCAGCATTAGCAGAGAGAAAGCAGAGTTCAAGTTTTGTGTCAAGTGACCCTTCTTCAGAATGTTCTACTTGTTGGTGACATCTATTTCCTCTGCCTGCCAGTTTCTCGATATCTACCCCACCGAGCCACTTCATAATTTTAAAGATCACCTTCAACCTTCACTTTTCTGTAGAAGGATAAACATAGAAGATAGGAGCAGGACTAGGCCATTTGGCCCTTCAAGCCTGCCCCGCCATTCAATTTGATCATGGCTGATCATTCAGCTCAGGGCACTGTTTTCGCTTTCCCGCTCCTCCCATATCCTTTGATTCCTTTAGCCCTAAGACTATATCAAATTGAAGAATTTAAGGCCGTTCAGCTGCCAGCAATGCCTCTCTATTCTGTTCATCAAGGGCAGAACTCCAAAGATGGTGGTGTGCGCATCTAAATGTGATTGTGCTCAGACATTGAGGATTTTCCTAGGTGATGATCCAGGACTCGCTGGGGTGGCGGGGGGTGGGGGGTGATTCCAATGCACAAATTATTAACATGACAAGAAAGACCGATTGAATACTGGCCTTTGTATCTGGAAGACCAGAATACTTTCAGATCACCTAAATCTTTTGCCTTTTACTGAAGATTTACAAGGGACCAGAAGTCAGACTTCATCTTTATGAACAAAAACAAAGTTGCTAGAAAAGCTCAGCAGGTCTGGCAGCATCTGTGAAGGAGAAGACAGAGTTAACGTTTCGGGTCCGGTGACCCTTCCTCAGAACACCAGACCCGAAACGTTAACTCTGTCTTCTCCTTCACAGATGCT